GATGGATACCATACCCTCACTGCCACTACTATTTGGTGGATTATTATTGTTCCATGCTGTTCCTTAGTTCCATCCAAATAAATCCCACATGTTGTTCTTCTGATCTGAGGTCCTCCCTTACTAATGTACTGATTCCATCTTTTTTTATCAGTACAACTCCACCTCCTTATCCTCCTGTCTGTACGTCCTAGATTAGACATTGAATATCCTTGCCCAGTCCTGGACAACATGCAGCCATGTTTCAGTAATGGCAATTAGATTATACCCATGTATTTCTACTTGCGCCTTTTAGATTATCAACCTTGTAAATACTGTATGCATTCAGCTAGAGTGGCATTAACTTTGTCTTGTTGACATCATTCCACTTTCGAAGCAGACTCAGCTTTGTTTCTGCTGTATTCTAGTCTCCTTAGAATGTTTTTGACTTCCTGTTACCATTTTTACTTCCTTCCAATTTGAGTTACTCTCGGACTCCCATCCCACTGCCAACTAGTTTAAACTCACCCCAACAGCACGAGCAAATCTGCCTGCAAAACTGTGGGACCCAATCCCGTTAAGGTATAATGATCCAGCATGTACAGGTCCCACCTGCACCAGAGCCTCAATTTGTCAGGAATCTAATGTCCTCTGTCTCACACCAGCTTCTCAAGCTGTGTATTCAGTTGCTGAATTCTCTTGTTCGTGTGCTCAGTAGCCAGTGGCAGTGAAATTACTCCTCTCGAGGTCCTACTTGTTAATTTCCTTCACAACTCTCTTTTACACAAAGGACGTCACGTTATAGTCCAACAGGTTTATTTGAAATCGCACGCTTTCAGAGCACTGTTCCTTCGTCAGGTGGAGCTCTGAAAGCTTGTGATTTCATATAACCGTGTCAGACCATAACCCAGTGTCGTATGACTTCTGACATTCTCTACCCCAGTCCAACATTGGCACCTCCACATTGTGGACAAAGGAGAGTCAGTAGACTATGATCTATTGGATTCCAAAAAGCCTTTGACAAGGTGCCACACAGGAGGTTGCTGAATAAGACAAGAGCCCTTGGTGTTAGAGGCAAGATATGACATGGACAGAGGATTGGCTCACTGGCAGAGAATAGAGAGTGGGGAGAAAGGAGTCTTTTCCAGGGTAGGATGGTGGAGTGACTGGTGGCGTTCGGTGGGGATCAGTATTGGGACTGCAAATATTCACATTATACATCATTAGATCTGGATGAAGGAGCTGTTGGCATTGTTATATGTTTGCATATAAGACAAAGATAAGCAAAAGTACAGGTAGTATCAAGGAAGTGGGTGAGCTGCAGAAGGACTTGGACAGGTGAGGAGAGTGGGCATAGAAATGGCAGATGGAATACAATGCGGGAAAGTGTGAGGTTATACACTTTGGTCAGAATAATAGAGGCATTGACTATTTTCTAAATGCAGAAAGGCTTTTGAAATCTGGAGCACAAAGGGACTTGAGAGCCCTAGTTCAGGATTCTCTTCAGGATCACATGCAGGTTCAGGGGCGATGAGCCAAAGCAATGTTGGCATCAATGTTAAGGGGCTAGAAAATAAGAGTGGAGATGTACTGCTGAGGTTGTATAAGGATCTGGTCGTCAGACTGCATTTGGAATATTGTGAGCGGTTTTGAGCCCTGCATCTGAGAAAAGATGTGCTGGCATTGGAGGGGTGTTCAGAGGAGGCTTACAAGAATGATCCTGGGGATGAAGGGCTTGTCATATGAGGAGCAGTTGAGGACTCTTGGGTCTGTAATCAATGGAGTTTAGAAAGATCGAAGGGATCTATTTGAAACTTACAGAGTACTGAGAGGCCTGGATAAAGTGGATGTGGAGAAGATGTTTCCACGAGTAGGAGAGACTAGGATCCAGGGGTGCAGCCGCAGAGTGAAAGGACCAACCCTTTAGAATGGAGATGAGGAGGAATTTCTTCAGCCAGAGGTTGGTGAATCTTTGGAACTCATTGCCCCAAAGGGTTTTGGAGGCCAAGTCATTGAGTGCATTGAAGACAGAGAATAGACAGGCTCTTGATTAGTAAGGGGATCAAAGGTTATAGGGAGAAGGCAGGAGAATGAGGTTGAGAAACATATCAGCAATGATCAAACGGCAGAGCAGACTCGATGGCCTGATTCTGTTCCTATATCTTATGGTTTCTCTGAAATCTATCTACAAAACTGAATTGGTGTGTCTTTCAGTTGCTCTGTGACCTTGGCACCAGGGAGACAAAACACCATCCTGGAATAACATTTAGTGCATCAGAAACACCTGCTTGACTATGGAAACCCCTATAACTATTGCTCTTCCATTCTTTTTTGTTTTCTCCTGTACTGTGCAGCAGGGTCACCCATGGTGTCAAGGATACAGCACAGCCTACATGCCCCTGATGAACTGTTTCCCTCACCAGTTTCTAAAAAAGAACACCCGTTAGCAAGCACAATAGACTCAGGGGATTCCTGCACCACCTGCCTGGTTTCCTTATACAGTCACGTCAAAACCCATGCCCTCTTTATAGTGGCACTTCTAAGACTCCCTCTGCATGCAATCCTTACGGAATTGTGTCTCCAACTGTTCCCTGAGCACCGAAATCCGGAGCTGAAGCTAGTGTAACCAGTGATACTTTTCTCCTTTTTATTCACCGGCCAGGCTAGCATTTACTAGCCATCCCTAACTGCCCAGAGGGGACAGTTAAGATTCCACCTAATTGCTGGAGTCTGGGTTCATGTGTAGGTCAGACCGGGTAAGGATGGCTGATTCACCTCCTAAAAGGACGTTAAGTGAACCGGATGAGTTTTTCCCGATAATCGTCTGTGGTTTTGTGGTCATTATTAGACTGTCAATTCCTGGCTTTTTTTGAATTCAAATTCTGCCATCTGCCATGGCAGGATTCAAACCCAGGTTTTTTAAACATTATTTCAGTGATAGTAGGAACTGCAGATGCTGGAGAATCTGAGATAACAAGGTGTAGAGCTGGATGAACACAGCAGGCCAATTTCTGAAGAAGGGTCTAGGCCTGAAACGTCAGCTTGGCCTGCTGTGTTCATCCAGTTCTACACCTTGTTATCTCCCTTAAACATTATCTAGGTTAAAAGTCCACTACTAACATCTCCGGGCCACCACCTCTTTGAGACACGTTGTAAATCTATGACTTCACATATACCACAGAATGCACACTCTAGTTGGCTCTTCTGACCTGTCATCCTGGAACTCTATTCCCTTAGAATGAGTGTGGATTTACCTCGAAAACTTCACAAGCTATTTCTCAGGAAAAGAGAAACAAAAAAGTCCGGAGACTTGAACATAAACCAAATACCCAACTTTCACTTTAAATATCAGAAATGCAGACCAAATCCACACACTCATCAACTGCTTTCCCCACACTTGTGGCATCACACTGATATTGGTCTTATTGTAGCTAAGCCTCTTGATCTGTGCCTTATTTCCTCCTCCTTTCACCTCTCACTCTGGAGACATTCTTTCTTACAGTAAACCTCAACCAAAGCATCTTTGCCCCCCTCTGTCCCGAATTCCCACTTTGACCTAAATTTCCAGTTACTCGCTATCAGTCTCATTCTGACAAAGTCTTCCTCACTCTGTCAATGTAGCTTTCAACCTTATACTTTCAACAAGCCCTTCTTTTATAGAGAATGATGATGAGTCACTTGCTTTTCATAAATTCCAATCAATTTTATGCAACCATTCATAACTCATAATTTAACTTCAGTAAGTTTTGGTGCATTTAAATGCTAAACATTTTGTAAGGAGATCTAGTTCCAGGTATATTAAACATCTCTCCTTAGGATCATAGAATATACAGCCCAGAAGGTGACCATTTGATCCATCATGACTATACTGTCTCTTTGAAGGAGATATCCAATTAGTCTAATTCCCTAGGTCTTTCAGCATACCATTTTCTCCCCTTCAAATGATTACCCAATTATCTTTTGAAAGTTACTATTGAATCTGCTTCACAATATAAATTCTGGATCGCCATAACTCACTGCAATGCACAAAAAAATGATGTTACCTATGCCTTGGGTGCTGATTATATTAAATCTGTGTCATCTGGTTACTGATATGCCTGCTGTTGGAAGTATTCCTTTTTTCCCCTTTAGTTTTTTTCCATAGTTGGCAAGGCCAGTATTTGTTAGCCATCTCCAATTACCTATGAACTGGACAGTTTTCAACGGCCATTTCACATGGTAGTTAAGAGCAAACCATATTGTTGAGTCTGGAGTCGTATGTAAGCCAGACTGGGTAAGGACAGCAGATTTCCTTTCGTTGAGGACACTAGTGAAGCTGATGGGGTTTTATGACAATCGAAGATAGCTGTCTTAGTTACAATTACTGAGCCCAGCTTTATGTTCCAGAATCTTAAATTGAATTCCAATTAGCACCAGCCTGGACTTCCCGATCACTAGGCCATTGACATTACCTTAGGTCACCTTCCCCACCCTCCTTCCCCACCCCATTGATTCATTCCAAATTTTGAACATCTGACGGATATCCCCTTTCACCTTGTCTGTTCTAAGGACCATAATCTCAGTCTCTCTATTGTTTCCACATAGCTGATGGTCCATTGGAATAGACTTTCACAGATAATAGAAACATTGATTATCATCAAAATGAATGGAAATTGAAATTAGCACTTTTGATTTGTCAGATGATCGGTCAGCCCAATTTAATGTCAAACTGAGTTTTTAACCCTTTGTATCAGTGGAGACGAACATCAATTGTAGAGATTAGTTGTGAGCTGTCTTAAGGTAGCACAGTGGAAGTGGCCCTTCCTCTGGGTCAAAAGGTCTGCATTCAAGTCTCATCTGCTCCAGAGGTGCATCATAGCAGTTTTGAGCAGGTCAGTTAAAAATCCATTCTGTAGGTGAGCAATGGGGAGAAGTTTGAGGCAAGTACTGACCCTGAAATAGAACAGCCCCAGCTATAAGAATACAAGAAGAACCCTGGCTTTAGAGATACCTCACACGCTTGTGCTCATGCACTCTTACTGCAGATAAGAAGCAAAATCAAAAAGAGGAGAAGCTGAAGATTGTGACAGGACAGATGTACGAGTTCATGGAAGCTCTTCCAACAGAGAAACCATCTGAGGTGAGACATGGGACAGAGATTGTATTCATAGCGTCCAAAGAATGCGCTTCTGCTGTTATGTTCTATTAACAGTCAATGTACAGAATCTGTCTCTTTCTGAAAAACCAAAGCTTGTTGACTTGAACGTCTCAGGGCAAATGCAAGAATACCAAATTTCAGACCAGCACGGCAATTTATTCTCGAGGAGGAAAGGGCACAGGTTGGCATTGCCATGGCCAATCAGAGGTGACTTACCAACCAGTCGACCCCCTATTTTCCTGCAGTACAAATTGTTGTGATTGTTTGAAATTTGGCATTTTAGAGCTTGTCCTGATTAATGATAGGCGGAAAAGCTTCAACAACATGGCTCTTTTCAGCAATTGTGTTGTTAATTAGTCAGGTGTTTGTTGATGGATTTTGGGATTTTAAAACTATAAAACAAAAACAAAAATGAATCCGGAGTCTAACATACAGAATGAGCCGCAAATGTGCAGCACATCAGCGGCAAGAAAGAAAATATGGGCTACATTTTTTTTTCTAAGCATGACTTTTTTTGTAGTCTTCAATGTACCGCCTAAAGGATGATGGAAACAGATTCAGGTAACTTTTGGAAGGAAATTGGATATATAGTTGATAAGGAGGAATTTTCAGGGTCTGTGGAGAAATAAATATGTTACTTTTGTTAACTCTGGCTAACCAGAAAAAACACATAAACCATTGTCCATAAAAGCCATTGGCTAATAGCTCCTATGTTTTGACTTGCAGTTAGAGAAAGGAGGTGGATATGAATACATGGCCAGCTGTGGACAACAGAAACTACAAGCAGAGGGGGAAGGTAAAACATTTCATTATCACATTTAACTAATGTAAAAGGCTGAGGACAAGCTACGACCCCTGCATTGCAAACCTGGGGCTGTAGTACAAGCTCCTTGCAGAGAGAGACAAATAATGTTGTAATTATTTTAATCAACCTGTTCAGACATGTTATGACACAGTTCTGGTGCAGGTGGGATTTGAGTCTGGATCTCCTGGCTCAGAGGACAAGGCAATGCCACTGCGCTACAAGACCTCTACAAATAGTGCTGTGTGATACAGATAAATGTCTGCTGTACAAACCACATGGTAGACTAATCACCTGAAGGTCACTAAATGAGGAGATGGTCACTTAGCTTTAAGGATTTGAGATAATTAGTTGATTGATTACAGCCCCACTGCTTAGAGCAGGAGTGTCTCCCCAGTGGAGGGCTCTCTACATGGGAGTGCTCCCTCTTTCCCTCAGAGGCCTGGGGGGAGAGGGTGTTGTGTGCAGCAGACCCTTGTCATCGCAGATTGCGGTGGTTCACGGTCTCGGAGCCCAAATGCTGGTTGTGGAGTCCATGGACCATGTGTGTGTGTTGGCTATGGTCATTTTCCTTCCCTTTTTAGTTGCGTAAGGAATGTTTTGCTGTGTTTCAGGCTGCACTTGAGCCCCATGCTCCTGATCTTTGGGCACCCAGTGCGGAGGGGAGCGGGCAGGCCGGATGATCTCCTCGTGGGTCTGTTCCTGGGCCTGGCCAAGCTGGTCATTAACAGGTCCAGGCAGCGTGCCGTGGAGGAGGTCATTATGGCCGACTGCCTGCCCCTCCTCTGTGGCTGTGTTTGAGCCCTGGTGTCCTTGGAGAGGGAGCACGCAGTTCTGCACCAATGCTGTCAATGCTCTTAGGGAGAGGTGGGCACCCACAGTGGGGGTGGAATCCTTTATTTCCCCCCTCCAACTCTATTTTGATTTGATCCCTACCCTCCCCCTTCACTTTTTTTTTCACATCAGTGTTGCCCTTATCAGGCTGTACTTGTTACTGGTTCCCTAGCCATATGGGTGTTTTCCTGTTGGTGGAAATATTGAATAAAGTTTTTTTTGCACACAGTGTCTTTATCAAGTCTCCACACTTACACACACGCAACACGGGTGCTGTGGGGAAAGAGATTAAAATAAAAGAGTAGGTGTGTTTGTGTGAACACATTTTGCCCATGATTCACAATGTGGTAATACTACTCCATTACACAAAGAGAATGTTCCTCTGTTTATCCTCTGCCCAATTATTACCAGGTCTTGTAGCATGTTTTAAAGGTCGGTACACACTGTAACCCCACACCACACAGTGGGGATTGGATGGGTTTTAAGCACAGATAATCGAGCATTAATAGTGCCTTCAGTAATGTGGGGAGACAAGAAATGCTGGAGTTATTCTCCTTTTAACAGGGAAGGCTAAGGTGGCATTTAATACAGAAGTTCAAGACTGTGATAAATACTGTTTGTGCTGGGAGAAGTGGCGGGAGGGGTCAGATTTAGGGTAATTGGCAAAAGGACCAGAAGGGAGAATGGAAGTTATCTTTTTCCGTGCTCCAGTGTGTCGTAATGATCTGAAATGTAATGTTTGATTTCAGTCATGTCTGGCTGCTATGTTGAAAGAGTAAGGGGATTGAGTTATTTGGTTAGCTCTTGCAAAGAGATGGATTAGTCATAACTGGCCAAATTGCCATCTTGAGTACAGTATTATTTCTAAGAGCGGCTTATTAACTCCTGTTTTGTTCTTGACTTCAGTGCATTTCAAACTGTGAACTATTGAACAATCACAGCTGTTTCTGTCTCAAATGGATAGTGCGCTTAAGACAATAATAGCAACTTTGACATTAAGCATTCGCCACTTGCGTTAATGTTATCAGCTTTCAGTCAATGTAAGTGTCTGGTTATTTTAAACTTGGTCATTTTAAGTGGTGGGAGCTGTATTTTGTGGGTGTAGAGTGTTGGAATGTGAACTGTATTCGATTCAGTCGACAATGTGTTTGCAGTGGTCGTACAGAGATCCCATTTTTGGGTCGGGTGAGAGATCTTCACTTTCCTTTGGAATTCCCAGTTTTGCTGATCTAACTCTGTGTTGGGATTGCACCAAGCATGGGTTGAGGCCCTGAGGGCAGTTTCTGAGCTGATTCCAACCTCTTCCTACCCCCTACAAGCCCCACCCATGCTCCTGCCAATATTTTCTTCTCTAACAGTCCACATAGTTAACAATGTTTCTTAACCCATTGCTTCACTGATACTCACAGGTCCACCAGGGTCTTTGAGAATTCACCAAGGGCAAGGGGCACACTTGAATATTATGGGTCTTAAACATACAAAGGTAAGTGATACTGCATGACCGATGGTAAGCAAGGAGTGATACTTAATGTTGAGTACTAATTCATTAGAATATAGTCATTAATAATTTAAATTGAAGTGTTCTTTTGGGGAGAAGAGGAAATTACTGCTGTAAAAGTTGACCTTGGCACGTGGCAAAGCACCAGTATCTCTGATTCTGGAGTACTATTCTGGAGGCTTAAACACAGAACAAAAGCAAGCCTTTCCTTTGGTAAATGTGTAGAGCTGTGCAGCAGGACATGAGGGCAAACTGTAAAAAGGCAATAGCAGTTTGGAATGTTATGGAATCTCTTGGTCGCCATGTACTTTAATTGGCTGTGTGCCAACAGACATATAGAAAACATTTGAAAGAGCTGTACTTAGCTTTAAATTAGTTCAGCACCAGGGCATAGGGAAGCCACTGCTTGGAAGGTTGAGGTATATGCTGATCACTTTCCATGGTGCGCTAGTGGTTTGGTTGAAGGCTTCACTAAGCAGTGTGAGTAACTTTACTGCATCCTAAATGCACAAAGCACTGACTCGGAGATTACTTCCATCGTTCAGTACTTTAGACCCTTTGTGTTGGCATGTGATGAAAGGGTCATCCATATGGCCATAACGTGTATCCAAGCTTGGAATCACCCTTGGAGGTCATAAGGCCATTCTTTAAATTTACGTTCACTTTTCAATTTATTCATTTATGGAATGGTGCATTTATTATCCTCATCCTTCATTGCCCTGATAAGGTGGTGGAAAAGTCAAGAAAGTGGAATTGAAGATTATCGGATCTGCCATGATCTCATTAAATAGTAGTATAGAATTGATGGGATGAATAGCCTACTTCTGCTCTTGTGTCGTATGAGCTTATAGTGAGCTGCCTTCTTGAATAGCTGCAGTCCATGAGGTAAAGGCTCTCCCAAAGCACTATTAATTAGGCACTACAAGAATTAAGGGGTATTTATAGCCACTAAAGCAAGAGAGAGTCTGCTGCAAGATGGGGCGAGTGGGGAGAGTTTGAGAATTTTGTAAGAGTGAAGTTTAATACTTCCATTGAGAATATGACTCCAGATTGAAGTTATGCTGCCTAAACAATGAGAACTACTGTCTCTGCAAAGCCCCAATCCAATCAATATCCTCAGTATGTAACTGTTATAAGCATAGTACTTATTGAGCAACATTTCAGCTTGTAACTGAGCTTGGTTCCACGAATAGTATAGTGATGGTGGGCTGAATGGCCTCTTTCTGTGCCCTGATGACTCTAACGACTGTGTAACGTTTGTACTTTCAGGAGAAGGGCTTTCCAGAAGATGAAACTTCAGGCAGCTTTGACACAAAGAAATTATCCGGTAAACACTTCAAAATGTCTAAAAGGAAATCTACTTATGGAGACAGAGGGCATGGCTGAGGTACTAAATAAGTGCTTGGCATCTGTCTTCACTAAAGCAAAGGATGCTGCTATATTTCTGGTAAAGGAGTTGATCTGGGCAATGGAAATTGGAAAAGGATTCAAATAGAGGTTGGCAGTTCTCAATGTGGTTTCAAAAGGGTTTTATTGTGTGAAAGGAGGGTAGGAATTGCTAAGGCTCTGAACACAATCTTGCATTCCCCCTTGGATACTGGGATGGTGCCAGAGAATGGAGGATTGCAAAAGAAAATGGAGGAAAGCTGGTAGCTAAAGACCAGGCTGCCTTATGTGGTGGGAAAACATCAGGACTCCATAATAAAAACCGAAAGAACCGTGGACGCTGTAAATCAGGAACAAAAACAAAGTTGCTGGAAAAGCTCAGCAGGTCTGGCAGTTTCTGTGAAGGAAAAAAAGAGTTAACATTTCGAGTCCGGTGACCCTTCCTTAGAACTGAGGATGGCCGAAACGTTAAACTCTTTTTTTCCTTCATAGACGCTGCCAGACCTGCTGAGTTTTTCCAGCAACTTTGTTGTTGATCAGGACACCATAACCTGGGATAAAATGAATTGTCACTTGAAAGAGCTAAGAAACTCTTGAGGATATATAAAGACTAGTAAAATGACAGCTACAAGCCAGACATAACTAAACATAGAGCTGGATAAAGCAATATATCTTGAACGGTCCAGTGGGGAATTCAGAAGAAGCACCTTTACCTGGAGAGTTCCTTGTGAGGCTGGCTAAGATTGATGTGAATGGTATAGATGCATTTAAGAGTAAACTTGACAGGCTTATGAGGAAGAAAGGAGTTGAAGGTTGCAATGATAGATTTAGTGAGGAAAGGTAGGAGGAGGCTAGAATGGAGAATTCATGTCAGCTTGGACTGGTTTTGGTGAAAGGTCCCTGTTGTATATCCTATGTATGTAAAATGACAGCCAGTAAAAATTAAATGATAGCCACACGGAACAATGAAAGACAAACCATGTCTGACTAATGTAATTTGAGTTGTTTGGTTAAACTGATATTGTGTAAATCCACCGTTTGTGTTGCTTATGGATGGCTGATCAATTTCTTCTTAACCCACATTTTCATGCACTAAAAGGCAGGCCCTTAGCATCTTCCCATATCTGAAAATATTTGATTTCTTCAAAGAAACTGACTGTTGTGCACTCCGTTTAAATGGTGCGGTATAGCCATTGCCAGTGATTTTAAACCTGGTCACTCCCAGCTGAAGAACTGCACAGCCTAAATTTATTTTTCAGCTGTCTTGATAAAACTGCCTTAGCCTGCCACTTTAAATCTATTGAGCCTAACTTTCAGCAGTTGGGAAAAAGATGGAATCCAATGAGGCTGCCTGATTGTGCTAACTCGGAGAAAGTTTGCCATTTGTGGTTATGTCAATGAATTTTTCAGCAAAACCTGAAGCCTAACTTAATTGTTCCAATTTTGAGTGCATTTATTTATTTCCTCATGGGATCTGGGCTTGGCTAGCAAGGCCAGTATGTATTGCCCATCCACAACTGCTCTTGAGAAAGTGCTGTCTTGAACAGCTGCAATCCTTGTCGATGGATGTACCCACAGTGCTTTTAGGGGAAGGGGAAGTTATTGACTGTTCCCATTACAGAAATGCTCCCCGTCATTTGGAGTGGAAAGATCTAGGGAGAAAATCCCAGAGCTTAGGGCTTCAGGCAAAACTGCCAGTGGTGCCCTCAAAGTAACGGGCATGGACTATTTGATTCTCGGTTTTGGCTTTGGAATGGCGTGAAAAACTGTGGCGCACTGACCAATCAGGCCCCGATCAGTAATAAAGGACAATCCCATTGGAAGGAGTGGAAGGACCACCAACCAGAGAGTTCTTGGAAGAAAACCTCCACCAAAGAAGCAGATAGTACTCCAGATCATAGAATCATAGAACCCCTACAGTGTAGAAGCAGGCCGTTATTCCCATCGAGTCCATACTGACCCTCTGAAGAGCATCCCGCCCAGACCCACCCGCCCTACACTATCCCTGGAACCCTGCGTTCCCCATGGATAACCCACCTTGCCTGCACATCCCTGGACACTATGGGCAATTTAGCATTGTGGTACCATAAAGCTGGAGGTTGTACAGTTCAGTGGAAAAGCCATTGAACTAGCTTTGATGACGCACGAGTGACTCTTACAAATCTTAAATCTTGTGGAAATTGAGAATGACTCTTCAGAAATGGAAAAAATAAAGAAAGGAACCATGATGAAGATGTTAAAGCACCATTAATTACGTGTAAAGATATGGCTTTCTGTTCCCTCATTTGATAGGTAAAAGATGAGCATTCCTCTTGTTCTTTGTTAATTTCTAATCTGCTGAAATAAGTAAATGAAACATCTCCGAACCTGTTCTTGTGTGTCTATCAGGAGGGGCATTTGCTTACCCACTGGAGCTTTCTGGGGCTGACAGATTGCGGCCGACAGAAGGAGCAACATACGTCAACATCCCAGTGAGCCCAGCTTCAAAGAAGCAGCTCCATTATATGGAACTCGAGCTCCAGGAGCCCAGTCCTACCATCCGAGGTAACTCTACAAATTGTAGCTCACTAGTACCAACTGTGGCATCTTCCTATCTTTCTGTCAGTGAAGTGTTCTCGCTGATATGTCATTCCTTCAGAAAATAAAATTCACATGAGGAATGAAGCATACGCTGATAACATTGTTACCAAAAATGATGTATAGGCCACGGTGTACAATGTTTGAATGTAACGTCACTGCAGTTCAAGTTACTGGAAGATTCCTATGGGGGTTCAGGTTTCAGGATTACTGGATCCAAGCCTTGTCAAAATCTGAGGATCCTGTTCCATCAACCACTTTTCAAACCTTCCTTTCAGTCAGGCTACTTGAGAACTCCCTTCCCTCGCCCAGTTAGTGGCAATAACCTTCGTAAAAGCAAGAGTCACTCCCCTTTTGGAAATGGTGAATCATGTTATTCATTTGGAGATAGTTACATTGAGCAGAAGCTCTCTAGGGGCATGTTACACAGCTGTGCCTGGACGAGCCATCCTTTGAAACTAGACCCTCTTGCTTTAATGATTACAACAGGTCCTGAGATATCTTGTTCTGAGAAATTGGTAACAGTTCAGGAGTCTGAAAGAATGCAGTTTGTGGTGTCTTCAAAACTCCTTATTGCTGTTGAACCAGATTCAGTTTGACAAAGTGAGCATTGATATAAAGAGCTCACTCAAAAGGTGAAAATAATACACAATTAACCTTATCCTGAGACTCCCATTCCTTCATGACTGTCTCAATGTACTCAAGGCCATGTGTTTCAGCTGTGGCTCAGTGGGGAATGCTCTTGGTTTTGAGGTCATGTCATGTTGTGGTAATGTCTCTACCTCTGAGCCAGAAGATTTGGGTTGAAGGTCCACTTTACCCTTTAGGTATTTCATTGCATGTCAGAACAGGTTGCTTAAAATATCCACTCAAGGCTGCCACTCAACGTTTTAACTGGCACTCTGATAAACTGGCAAATATTATATATCTCCAAAACCACGATCTACTGTGATTCTGAGTATTTATAATGTAAATAAAGTATAACAGTGATGTTTATACCCCATGCATTACGTTTCTATCACATAGTGTATAATTTTTACATTGCAATTAGGAGGTGTGTTGATGTTTTAATAGATTTTTTGAGGCTTTTGATGTCTTGAAGTTGATTATCCAGAATATATGATCAGCTGGCATACTCCTGGTCCCATAGGTGCTGGTTAATAAAAAACTTTGCTGTAATTTCATCAGCAATGTCTACCTTTTTTAACTGTTATGATATATAGATGTGTTTTACGCAAGGTATCATTACTCGGGCTTGTCAAATTCTACAGCTCCATACATCTACTGGGGTACAGTTATTCACTAATATCACCCTGTGTTGTACCTCTTGCAGGGTGGAGCCTGAGTTCAGTTAAGCCAGTAATGAACAGGGACCTTCCTGATTTGGAACAGTCAGATTGGATGATCCAGCTTGGCTGTCAGAACAACACCTTGTTAAATCTGTTGAAATTCAATTCTCAGGTACCACTCCAGCTTTTCACTGACAGTTAGCTTCACCAAACTAGAACTACCCTTGAGCTGTAATCTTGCTCAGTTGCATTAAAAAAAACACTGCTTGACAGTTTTCAAGCCTTCTTCTCAGCTATATTGAACTATTGATGGGACACAGCTTCTTCTGAACTCTCACAGCTAAAAGGACTTTTCTGGATCCTAACTCTAACACTTAGCTGCCTATTAACTTCCAGAAGTTCTGCCCAGAGCATGGAGACATCCAATTGCTCACTGAGTCCATTATGGAAACCCTGCGTAGTTCAGTTGCCTTCCCAGCAGTATAGCTAAAAGCAGCATGGCTGAGCATAGATTCTACATCCATCTCTCTCACACGCTCAAAAACCTCACTGCCTGTGAGCTTTGAGCTTCTGTTCATTGACCCCTGAACTGTCCTGAGGGGCCTATTGAAATCATGCTAATAATCGATAATTGAATGGGTGCTTATGGTTTTAGGTGTATAAATTATGATGCAGCACCAGATCCACATATAAACATTGTGCTGAATCCTTCATTTCATAAGCATTTTTTTCGTGCTGTAGAAGCCAGCATTCTGTGAGAATGTAACATTCAGGGCACATTCAGTTTCAAGAGGATGTTACATTTTGCTGTTCCATGTACAATTCTATCCAGAAATAGGGCTGAAGATAAATGCAAGGTTTTCAATAAGCACCTCAGGGCAGTTCATGGGTCAATGAACAGAAGCTCAAAGGTCACAGGCAGTGAGGTTTTTGAGCGTGTGAGAGAGATGGATGTAGCCTCTATGCTCAGCCGTGCTGCTTTTAGCTATACTGCTGGGAAAGCAGCTGAACTGCACAGGGTTTCCATAATGGACTCAGTGAGCAATTGGATATCTCCGTCCTGTGGGCAGAACTTCTGGAAGTTAACAGGCAGCTAAATATTAGCATTAGGATCCAGAAAAGTCCTTTTAGCTGTGAGCGTTCAGAAGAAGCTGTGTCCCATTAATAGTTCAATACAGCTGAGAAGGAGGTTTGAAAACCAACAAGCAGTGGTTTTTTTAATGCAACTGAGCAAGATTAGAGCTCAAGGGTAGTTCCAGCTCAGGGAAGCTAATTGTCATTAAAAAGCTGGAGAAGTGCCTAAGAATTAGTATTGGAGCACAAGTCCAGAGTCCAGGGGAGTGTAGAGCCAGGAAAGGCAGATGGTTGACCAGAATAAGAGAAGTCATTGAGGTGTCCAGGGCAAAGTGGCTTGTGGGAGTAAGTTTCACATCCAGATGGGCAAAAGCGAAGAATTGTGATTCCTTGTGAAGTTCTGTGAGATTTGATGACATGCCATATTGTTAAAATCTGTGGAATCTGTCTTGATCACATTTTTTTATGGGATAGAAATGTTGCTGGGTGATCCAGCATTTTATCGTTCATACCTAGTTGACTTTGAGGAAGTGGAGTGAGCTGCCTTCATGAACCGCTGCAGATATACCCACAGTGCTATTAGGGAGGGAGTTCCAGGATTTTGATCCAGCAACATTGAAGGAACGGTGATATGTTTCTAAGTCAGGATGTGTGTCAGTTGAAGGGGATCTTGCAGGTGATGGTGTTTCCATATATCTGCTGCCCTTGTCCTTCTAGATGGAATTGGGCATGGGTTTGGAAGGTGCTGTGCAAGGAATTTGGCTATTTGAAGTGGACTATATGGTGCTCAATCATAGTCCATTACCCACATGTACCACACAGTAGTTCCGACTCTAAAGATGTGCATGATTATATTCCTGTTCTAACTTGTAAAGTTTATTGTTGTTTGTCCAAACTGTGGAGTCTTGTGGGTTTATCCCTTACTAAGACTTGTTGACTTTAAAGAAAAGGGCTACAAACAAACTGCTGGGAAAACACAACACGTCTGGCAGCATCTTGGAGAGAAAACAGAGTTAGTGTTTTGGGTCTAGTGACCCTTGTTCAGATTTCCAACATCCACAGTTCTTTTCCTTTGTTTAAGAAAAAGGACGTTGGTCTTGGCCAGATTGTAACATTAAATTAGCAGCCTGGTTGAGGATTGTAACAACAGAGTGAGAAGGGGCCCATTTACCTCTTACATCCCATTAAATACCTAGACTATGTAATGTGCCCTCCACACAACATATTTTGTCTCCTGAAGGAGAATTGTGTGAAGCCTCAATTATATAACATGTGCAGTGCAGGAGCAGTGCATTTTACCATGTTTATGGTATACAACGGGAGTGGCAACCTGTTTTTTGCATAGGAGATCGGGGTTACATTTCAATTTTTTTGTTCCTCATGAAAGGAGGTGGTGGAGGAGGGGTGTGGTAGGAGGAGAGGCTGGTGAGCAACGTTTCCTCTAATATTTATTTCCACTGTGAGAACCTCTCAGATCGATGGATGATTCCGGAAGCAGGAGCCAGTGTGTCAGCGCACAGATCAGAGTGCACGGAACATTCCGGCGGTCACACATCTTAGAGGCAATATTGCTGGTGTGCAAATTTCGGAAAGATAAGAGTTGCCGCAACAGCAAGCATAAAATTTCTCAAAAACAATTGAAAGCAATAAATTGATTTAAGTTTTATTTTATTCATCATGGGATGAGGACATCGCTGGCCAGGCAGCATTTATTGCCCATCCCTAATTGCCCAGAGGGCAGTTAAGAGTCAATCACATTGCTGTGGGTCTGGAGTCACATGTAGGCCAGACTAGGTAAGGATGGCAGTTTCCTTCCCTAAAGGGCATTAGTGAACTAGATGGGTTTTCCCCGACAATCGACAATTGATTCATGGTCAGCATTAGACCATTAATTCAGATTCTTTATTGAATTCAAACTCCACCATCTGAGAATTAGCTGAGTTTCAGGATTAATTGTCTAGCGATAATACTATTAGGCCATTGCCTCCCACTGTGAGCAATTCATTTAAACTACCATTAAAACGGGCCAGGCAGCAAAACGGATTTTAGCCTTTTGGTTCCTGTGGAATCATCCCACTCGTTTCCTTAAATTGTTAACACTACTGTCACTGGCTTAAGGCTTTCGCAAATAAATTCGCTGTTCCAATGAAAGCAAGATACTGTGGAATGTCCTGGCAAAGAGTCGTGTCAGACTCTAAATGTCAACTCTGCTTCTCTTCCTGCTGCCAGACCTGCTGAGTTTCTCCAGCACTTCATGTTCTTGTTTCAAACCACCATTTTTGAGCAGGCTGATGGAATTTCAGGATGGTAAAGTAGCCTTTTTTTCCTAGTTGGCACCTTAAAACCTGACATTCTCCATGAGTTTTCATGTTGAGTAGGTGGAGGCTTTCAGGAGGCCCCAAGAAGTTGAATCTTTATGGAGTTCAATTTCTGTTTATATGCATCAGATCATACTTCAGGTGTGAAAATAAAAGATAGATATTCTCTAATAAAAACCAAAAGAACTGCAGATGCTGTAAATCAGAAACAAAAACAGAAATTGTCGTAAAAGCTCAGCAGGCCTGGCAACATGTGTGGAGAGAAATCAGAGTTAACGTTTCGGGTCCGGTGACCCTTCCTCAGAACTGATGGTAGCTAGGAAAATGTCAGTTTATATGCAGAGGTTAGGGTGGAGGGAGGGGATAAGGAGTAAACGATAGGTAGGGATGGTGCCCAAAGAGAGACAAGAACAGGTGGACAGACAAGGGAATGGATAATGATCTGGCTAGAAGGGTGAACAGCTATTAATGAGGACTGTTAGTGGCCAACAATGGGTAGTGTGTAATAGCAGACTATGTGATAACAAGGCCGGGTCTCTGAGGGTTGGGGTAAGGACATGGGAGAGCTCAAGTCCTAAAGTTATTGAACTTGATATCAAATCCAGAGGGCTGCAGGGTCCCCAAGCAGAAAATGAGGTGTTGTTCTTCCAGCTTGTGCTGAGGTTCGCTGGAGCACTGCAGCGAGCCTGAAACAGAGGTGTTGGCCAGGGAGCAGGGTGGTGTGTTAAAGTAGCAGGCAACTAACAGGCAACAGATATTCCCTGTTGCCTTCTCCCTTTTTGCAAGCAGCCACAATATTGCAAGCCTTGGCCAATTTGAAAACTTTGTTCATGATTAACAGCAATGCTGGAGGTCCACTTCTTTCTAGTTCTGAGTCCTTGAGCAGTAAAAAGATCAGCTGCAGTTTTTGTAGAAGAATAATACTTTGTGCAACAAACACTCAAACATAGGATTGAGCAAATCACAAGTTTGAGTGAACCTGCTCCACCATTCAATAAAATTCTGGCTAATTTAATTACTGTACGTTCTCTACTCCTGATAACCAGTCACTCCTTTATCAAGAATCTCTCTACCTCTGCCTTACAAATATTTAAAGTCTCTTATTTTCACTGTTTTTTGGAGGAAGAGAGTTCTAAAACTCTTGAAACAGTATGTAGATTGCCTAACTAGGGAAGAGGCCATACTGGACCTTGTATTAGGGAATGAGCCTGGCCAGGTGATCAAAGTTTCAGTGGGAGAGCATTTTTGGAAGACCATAATTTAAGGGCAGCATGGTGGCTCAGTAGTTAGCACTGCTGCCTTACAGCGCCAGGGACTCAGGTTTGATTCCAGTCTCGGACAAATGTCTGTGTGGAGTTTGCACAGTCCCCGTGTGTCTGCGTGGGTTCCCTCCAGGTGCTCCAATTTCCTCTCACGGTCCAAAAATGTGCAGGTTAGGTGTATTCGCCATTTTGAATTGCCCCATAGTGTTCAGGGATGTGCAGGCTTTGTGGATTAGCCATGGGAAATGCCGGGTTACAGGTATAAGGTAAGGCTGTGGGTCTGGGTGGGATATTCTTCAGAGGGTCGCTGTGGTTTTGATGGGCTGAATGGCCTGCTTCCACACTGTAGGGATTCTGTGTCACTCTGAGAGAAACAAATTCTCTTCATTAAATAGGCAAACCCTTCTTTTTAAACAACGAGCCTCAGTTCTAGAATCTCCCACAAGAGGAACATCCTTTTCATATCCGCAAAGATGCGACAGGTTCTATAATGTTTCAATTTCATGCTAAAATCACCTGAATTAATCTCATTTGCAATGCCATGGGAGAGATGCCAGTGCTGCGTACAAGGTTGGCTTTTAAGCTGGAGGGCCATGGGACAGGATATGGTTTGGTTTTGAGACATTTTACCTCTTTTCACTGATGCTCACGCTCACCTATCTTCCTGTAGGGGCGAGCTCTTCCAAGTATGCACAGATTGACATCACAGCCACAGAGACCGCGCACAAGGTGGGGACTCAACATGCCCAGCACCGGGAGGAACGGCTGCAAGAGTTGGAACAGAAGAGGAAAGGGCCAGCCCCGCAGTGATCCAGCAAGGCTGCGGTACTCTGCAGAACTTTTACATCTTTGATTTTTGCATTTGGGGTTCGAGCGGTTACGCAGGCTCAGTCCAGAACCTTGGAGGACAGGTGACTGAACTGGCAACTTCCACTCTGAATGTCGCTCCTGATGCACCAAGACTTTGTTTTTTTTTATTGTGAACAGATTCGAAGGGCTAACGGACTTGAGTGTTTTGTGCACGTATTTTTGTCCACTTTCTCCTTGTCAGATTGTAATTATTGTACCTGCCTTCACTCCTGCAATCCTCCTTGAATGTGTTGACATCATGCTTGGGGGTACGTGGGTGCCAGTTGCTCTTTGCTACATTACCCATTCTTTATCGGTGGCACTGGACATCTGCAAGCTATCTGTTCCTGAGAAAGGCGGGGGGAGGGGTCACAGATGACCTTAACTCTTTGCTCCCCTGCCTTTCAATGGACTGCTTGATCACAATCAGTCCTTGCTCACCATCAAGCCCTAACTCGGATGTACCAAGTCCCATGAGGGTGTCCTTCCTAGCTCACCACGGATGAGGAAGTGAGGGAATCTGAACCAGGCACCTTCAGGTTCTGTGCGCTACTGTGGTTCATCACAAACTAGGAGAGGAAAATGAACCACAATTTTTTTTTGTTGGCTTTTAAATAAGTTTCAAGGTTTCAATAATCAATACTTCACAATTGATGATAGAACTGTTTTCTTTTGCTTTTGGAAGTTTGTGTTGAAACCTCTTCCACTGAAGTGCAACTCAGTCTGTCTCTGCCAAATACCCCATCTCCGAGTCTGGGTGGGCAGCCCAGGTCTGAGGTTTGTGTCCAAGTGTTTCTGTTGCTGAAATTTCCTCCTGTGTCCTGTTGATGCACCATTTAGGGGTTGGGTCTGGCTGTGAGGACAGGGGGGTATTCGTCACATCTGCACTTCAGCAGCTGGGAACACAATACTCTCAACAGAAGTATCTGTCTCCCATCTCTGTCAAGCCTTAGAGTGCAATGAATTATTTCTAACTCTCTGCAGTCTACATTGTTCCTAGAATTGCTGGTATAGATTGCAATTTTTAAAAAAATTGTTTCGCCCAGCTTCTACTTCCTTGGTCAGTTTATCCTGTAGCACGGCCGTAATATTCACATCTGCAGTGATACAGACGCAACTTGTTGCTTATGAACCTGTCACATGCATCGTTGTCAGTTACCTGATCAAAATGCAACCTGAGGGAACAACTCCAAAGTCTTGTAATTATTGTTGGCGATATCAATGGATGGACAGTTAACAAGTTCACTTGACATTCCTCTGTTAGCTGGAAAAAGACTGTTTACTCTAGTACAAGATGATCAGGCAAATATTGTGGAGGTCAAAGTTACTGCCTTCAGCTCCCATACCAGTATTCCTTTTCCTTTAGTTATCTATTCCACCCGCCTCCCTCTCCATTGCCTCAGGTTGAACCAGGCAGCTCACAAACGTGGATTCCTATTTCGTCCAGAGCTGAGCATCCATCTCCATGTCTTCTCCTTCAGCCGTATCCTACACCTTTACCTCTTTTTATCTCTGCCCTGCCTCAGCTCATCTACTGTTGAAAACCTAAGTCGTATTTCCTTACTTCTACACTCAACAATTTCAGTGCTGATCTGGTCAGCTGCTTTTCACTCTCAGATAGCTTGAGCTCTAACCAAAATTCTGTTCCTCTTATCCTAATGCACACCCAATTCAAACATCGCTCATGACACTGGCTCCTGGTCCACCAATAGCTCACATTTAAAATTCTGACTTGTTTTCAAATCTATCCCTATCTCAAACCTGTCCCTATCTCAGCGACCTCCTGCTGGTCCATAATCCTCTCAGAACTCTTGAGCTCCTCTAATTCAGGTCTCTATTACATTGCTAGTTTCATTTATCTCACTGTTAACAGCCCTACCTTTAGCAGCTGAGGCCCTAAGCACTGACATTACCTCCCTAACCATCTCCAGCTGTTTATAACTTGCATCTTTGTCCAAGCTTTGGCCACTTGCTGTTACAGATCATAGTGTCTCTTTTGTGTAAAATATGTATTCGGCCATAATTCTTTTGCCAGTTTGTTTTCTTTTGCAGGGCGTAGGCATTTCTGGCTATGCCAGCATCTGTTGCCCACTGGATGCTAAAGGGATGCTCTGTTTTTTAGAACTGGGTGGTAGGTAGACTCACAATGCCCACAGGGAGGGAATTCTAGGATAGTTAATACGGTAGTTCTGGTTGGGTAGAGATTACAAGGTAACAGCAGGCCACTGATTAGCCGAGATGATTTAATTTTGCATGAGGTTTTCCACCTGGGAGTTTGTGACTATATCTTACCATTTTTGATCCCAGGTCCCTGACTTCTGAGGTCTACCACTTGGCCAGTTTCCACTCTGTGCATGCCTTGTAGTTGGTAAATGACATTGCTGCTGTTATTCAGTACTTTGGGGATTCGAGTGTTCTTCTGTCTCTGTAACTGGGTTCTGTTCAAGTTTCTTTTTCATTTGGGAAGGTCGTGACCTCCTTTAGGACTTTAAGTTGACGTAGTCGTTCTGCAGTGCCTGAGTTATTTCCCTTGCGAAATTGAAAGGATGCATGAATCACTGTGTCTCTTGATGCCTTGGGTGCTTCCTGTTTATGTCTGTGGCTGAGATTTGAATCTTGAATTTTAGCCTACCCAGTTCACCGCCTTTATTCCTGGCATAGATAATACCATCACTGGTATGTGGCAGGAGATGCAGAAACTGTTTGGATTATCAAGTCCAATTTCTGAAGGGTGTTTTGTGATGGCTCAAGAGGATAAGTGGTAATACAGTCTTGGGATAACATACGTTTTGAGGATTTTATCCTTTTGAGGATTTTAATCTTTGGACAGGGAATAATGATTTGTAGGCCAGAGATCCAGGTCTTAAATCTCTGCCTCCCACTCTCCTTTGGTGACCCCTGTGCAGGGATCGAGTCAGGTACCCAGGTTTCTCTTGGTGGAATGTAAGCCATGATGTGTGTAGTCAGTGTCTAGTTTCTCTCGTGGTTGTAAACAAAGGTCTTCCCTTTGTTGGTAAAGTGGAGACCTTTAGTTTTCAAGATGTTGATTGTGAGTCCTGTATTATTGCTGTATGACTGGACTATCTTCAGGTTTTGGGTCATTCTGATGTCATCCAAAAGTGCAAAGTCACCTGCAAAGGCCAAAGCAGAGCAGTTGATCTTTTCCTCCATTTAACATCATGCATAGTCTTGAATAGGCTGCTTTGAGAGTGCGGAACAGCGGATCCAAATCAATGTTGCAGAGAATTGTCGCCTTGCTTGGCTCCTCCCTCTATTTTAACAGGGTTCATTTTACATTTGTTTCCTTTCATGATTTTGGTGTTATTGTTGTGTGGACCTTCGATCAGCTGTAGAAATGATTCTGGGAGGCAAACTCGTTGCAGAGCCTTGATTAATAGTTTGTGACCAACAGAGTTGAAAGACTTTGCGAGATCAACGAAGATAACTGAGAGGTCCTTTCTATTCCTTCTGGTGCCATTTATAATGTCTTCTAGGACTACTGTCTGTTTAGTGCAGCTTGGGGTCACCGTTAAAAGACTCTACTGTCTAGGATTAATCTGTACCGTGACACTCGTCTTCACCATCATTTTAGTGAAAAGGTGAAGTAGTAAGGGTCCAGTTGTGATCAGTCTCCAGTTATCTATGCTTTTCAGGCATTCCATTTTGGAAATCTCATGTTTTGACTCTACTTTAATGAACCTGGAATTGATTTCAGTCACAAGGAGGGAGAGTCCAGGGAGGGGTCACGAATGTCCTGACTGTCCTTCAGTGTCATCCCATCCAGACCAGCTGCACTCTTGGGGTCAATCCCCTCGATAGCAGTATTGACCTCTTCACCCTCCTTGATGGGTCACATCAATTGACCATCATCCACTTTACTGGGGTATTTTTGAATTTGTTAAGATTAGCCTTTTTGTTGGGCACGGGTAACTTAGCAGTGAAGTCCTTTTCCAGGACGGCTTTTGAGAGGGGACAAAGAGTGGTTGCTGGAATGCCCATGGTTTGGCGGGCTAGTTGTCATCTGTCATTTTTGTAAATCATTGTGTTTCTCTGAACCAGGATTTTTGAAGCTGCCTGCCAGTGTTCTTCATGGCTCCATGTCTTCATCATTCTTCTGGTCTTCGTCCCTTCTTCCCCTCGACCTAGGAGTGGTTTTAGGTGGCTCTTCTCCATTCATCAAGGAGTCTGAGGTATACTCTATAAGGCCCAACCCTAGCACTCTGACCTGGTGGTCCCTTTCTTGCTATCAGTTCTTCTATCTGAATTAGTTGGTCGTCAATGTCCCTATGTTTGGGGTTGTGGGGTGGTGGTTGAACAATCCTCTTGGTGTGTCAGGAGATCTCTGTTGGTTGAACTCTCATCTCCTGTACCTTTATCTGAGTTGTCCTCTGGAGGTTTGTCTGGCACCAGAGCTTGGATTGTCACTTTGGGGTTCTGCAACGCTCTGCGCTTGTCTGCTATCTGTTTTTGGTGTGTTTTTGTTGTGAGGGAGATTGCAGTCCCCTTATCTATAAATGAACATCCTGCAAATTGTTGTCGTGGTTCTCAGAGAAATCTGATTTCTTCTTCTGTCTGCCTGTAGACCCTCCTCCTTGGCTTTGAATTGGTTTTTAAGGCTTTCAAGCACTTTTCGTTCCTTCATTCAGCATGCCTATGTCGCTCGTTTTGGCTGAGGCCAATCTTAGATATAAAGGTGAACTCACCGGCACATGCAAAGGTCTTTGCTAGTTGGCCCACTGCCATTACATGTAGCATAATGACAGGCTATCATGTGATATTCCCCACTGTTTTTGTACCCAGAAAACCTCATTTGGATCTTTCTAATGTGGTCTTTCTCAGCCGCATGAATGCCCAAATGTCCCACTGTTGGGAGGAGGGAGTTACAGAAACTGCAAAACGGTCCATCTGTGGGATAATGGATCACAACTTCTTTCTTGGTGGTTCCATCGTATTTTGGCTTA